AAATCGTGGAAGTCAGAAAGGCAGTGCAAAGAGGGCTTTTATTCAAGACAAGGAAAAAGGAATTAAGTATTCATTCATTTCATTCTTTCTTTTGTTCTGGATTCGCATACTCAATGATCACTGGTCTGCCATCTCGTCCACGTATCAGCTTTCCGGTCCCTGGAAAACGTATACATATGGAATTCGCGTTCGATAAATATATGAATAGGCTGAGCAGTATGGAGAAGCAATATGCAAACATGAGCGCTTTCGATTTGGCAAATAGCGATCAAGTGGAGCAGCTAATTTGTCTGAATGTATTTATTTACATAAGCCGACAGGTCCTGTACTATACAACATATGTGTAGTGCAATTTGAATAGCCCAATCACTGTAAGGCGTGGTTGACCGCGTCTGAGGCCACTGTTCGTCACCTGAGCACAGATGAACTCAACGTTACACACTTGCCTGAAATTCCGGTGCGGTGCTTATAGGTGTAATATCAGCATTGGGGTGACCGAACACTATATGATTTTTGATCCAACCGAGAGTATCATCAAGAGCCATGCACAGTTCAGAAAATACACGACCCTGGGTTTGTGCAGAATGTCAGAGCCTAGTCAGGTCTGATTCATTTCTCTTGGTAAACTTTAACTTCACACTCTTTTCCTCTATAAGAACCGTATAATAGGCCATAGAGTTCACATTCAGCTCATTTTCATACCCCCACCTATGCCTCTAATTTAATGAAAGGCATTTCGTTGCACATTGTAATGTTTGTGACTTCATACGCCTGGATAGCTCCATTATCAACTGCTACTACAATATATGTATATTTATATTTACAGAGCTGTATAACGATTCAAGTTCTTGTTCAATCGAGGTCTACAGGGAAAACAGAGACAACATTTTCTCCAGTTACTGAATAAGATACAAATTTCGGGTGTTCATCCATCCTTGGTTTTCTAGTCTTGGTATTTACTTATCTGACAGCTCGCATCTGAGTCTTTAAACTACCCGGGAAGCGAAAATTTTATAGTCAAAAGTTTTATAATGGAATCGGTCATTGTATCGCAGTCGTTATCTACGGGCCTAAAATGGTTTACAGACGGTGGAGGTTAGGCCTTTTAACTTGCTGTGATTGACATACTTACGGCTCAAAGCTCCGAGAGACAAACCCTGTGAAATGAATTCAGCCTGTCAACTTTCAGGATTGGTAACTAAAATGGTCGATGGTTAGCATGAACAGTTCCTCCCGACCATGTAAGTGACTCCCTCGTGTTGTAAAGTACACAATAGTACCTAAAAACGTGAAACGTTTAGTAAAGTTAGATAAACCAAGGATAATCGCTTAGTCGTTCGGATTCCGAAATTAAATTCTACATATCAGTCAAATGTACATTTCACTTGATTTCAGTGTTGGAACTCGAATCATTCAGGGTTCTTCTGCAATACCTCCATCTCTAATCCAAATAACTCACACTATATGCTTACCTTTTGGTTCTGAGGTTGCTGGAAAGTATAAAATGGAGAAAGGAAGAATATTTTTGTAAGGCTGTACGCATTCATGATTTGTATTCCATCGCCATGGATTAGTAATAAAACTTAGGTATATCGTGTCAATACTGGAGACGCTAGGTTGATGAATTAGCAGATCAAAATGATAAAAAGGATGGGTAAGCTGTCCGACGACGAAGTGAGATGAATACTGGTTTGCGTTCTCCTGTTGGGTGCCGGTTTCGATTCTCAGTTGGATTGATTAATTAACACCGTTAAGAAGACCCACTTAGGTCAAAACGGGTGTACAGTGCTTCCAAGCTTTTCATCTTACGCTTCATTCGCCCTGTAAATATCAAACTTTACTCCTTTAAATTGAAGGAAAACCAATTAAGTTAAACAGGGTTTTATGTTTTCTATTTAGTTCAAATAGGAGGAGACTGGTAAGTTCTATGCCAAGCAATAGATAACTGTCTGACGGTTTTGAGCAAGTAAAGGTTAAGTAAAAATTAGTTTTAACGAGTAGTGTTTGATATTAGCAAGCTGCCTAAAGTCAGATAAATTGACCGTTGCACTGCCAGGTCAACTTGTGTGACGATTTGCATCTAGATGGATGCACATTGCTGATTTATGTTGGCCCTTTAAGGATCGGTGACGTGTTGCCTTTGCATGACAACATAAGATTGTCATTTTGGAATTCAAATACAGTCAAGCTAAAATTAGGCTATTTATTTTCGAAAACATTGCTGAGCTCTTTGCTTTCACTGGTACAGTAATTGAAGATACATTGATAGATAGATAACGCCGAATCCTTTGTTTTCCGTTACTACATTTTCCTCCATTCACTTTTATATACTCTCTACTTAATTCACTATTATATAGTGAAGTATAGAACGCAAGACAACGAGGTATTCGAGTAGATTAGGTGAGATGTAAATCGCAAACGAGTTGATATGTTCGTGGTCTAATATGCGACTGGCTTACCTCAACTGGATTTCGAATATATGGCCAATGAAATCAGAAAATATTATACAGGTACTGATCAACCTCGTGTGACGTGACTCTCAATTCCATTCTCCTTCAAGTAAATGAGCCTCAAAACACTACTTTGAACATTATCTGTATAGAGGTAATGCTGTTTTACTTTCTTTGATGTAAAATGTGGGCCTTCTTCCTAATCAGATGGTGATATAGGCTACTAAATGTGAAATGTGGTGTAATAAGAATGTTGATTTTGGTAATTTGAAGCTTATAAATCTCGATACTTTGTTGAACACGGTCCAAGGCTCTTGGAAAATGGGAATGAATGATGTCGAAAAACATCACAAAAGTTTTTGATGTGTGATGATGCGTTTTATGCAAACCCAAACAGTGAATTTCAGTATTACTGATTAAGATGGCCCACGGTAAGTTGCCTCAAATTATTTATTTTGTGGGCAATAATAGGCTCCATTTATTGAGGGTTACTGATTGTATTTCAATAACATTCAAAGGGTGGTACGCTTACTTTTTGGTTCCGGGACTTCTGGAAAGTAGTGTGCGAAGAATAGACGTGAATTTGATAATTTCTGGTAGGAAAAAATATCTGTTATTTTCTTACGGCAAGGTTGGTCAAATGTAAACAATAAGAAATATTTGACTATTTGATTCATCTCATTGAATTTTTGTTTTATCATTATAGAGTGACTTATGTGGTGTTTGAGATTACTTTCAACTTTAGGGTGACACTGCAAACTCGAATAGAGAATATGTTCGTCATTCAGTCCTATCAATACGCTTGTCCTTTTTGCCGATCGCTTGCAGAAGCGATTCGCTTGGACGCACTGGCTAAATATCTAGCCGGTTTCTGCAGTGATTCGAAGGACCTGAGTGACTAGGAATGGAAAATAAGCTTTAATCACACTCAAAATCTGATAAAAGCATACGGATCATCTGTAGCTGTCTCGGGACTATTTGGAACACAATGAAATAAATGCATCTTCCATCGCAACAAACGATTATAATCCGATGAGTGGTTTTAATTGTTTAAATAGAGAAGTCAGAAACATGGGTTTGCACAATATATCCATGGTCAATTCGCCGCATCTGTACACGTGCATACTGCAGTCAAAGTCATTTTATATAGTCAGTGAGATAACTACCGTGAAATGAAGACATGATTGCTAATCACAACGCACAACACGACACAGTAACACAAAGAACAGAAGAGGGTGGGGGTGATTACCAAGGCAAAGCTAAAGTGACTAACCATTCACGTTGTTTGCATAGATCGGGTTTGAGGATACGAATGGCTAGAGCCTCGGCAAATTTCAGTAACTTTGTGTTTGTTGTGTTGTAGATGACCTGAAATGCGTGGGGTGGGGTGACACAATGTTTTTGTTCGAACAAATGCTGTGTTATCGAAGATCTTAGTCTTGTCTGCTCATTCGATGACGTAACAGTTTTGAACTTGTCATCCATCGCTTTCCTAAGCCACACCGGGATATGTTCGGCCACTCGGTGACGTAACTGCCTCTCTGTCCTGCCTATGTAGATGACTGAGCATCCGCACTTGAATTGGTAAATACAGTTTGATTTGGCGGAGGGGGGCAATGGTTCTTTCACCGATGTCGACGGTATCCGGGTGGTAGTGAAGACAATGACCGGGTCAACTGCGTAGTTGACACGCTTGACGGCAGAGTTCAATCGCTTGCTGACTAATTCAATCACGTCATCGCCTTTGAATGATAACTTCAAAAAAGCTTTCATTTTAGGAGCAGTTATCGGTTTTTCTACTTTGGGTGCTGCTTTACAATGTTTGGCGATGAATGCAAGTGGATATCCGTTCGCGTACAGAACATCCTTTAGGAGGTTAATTTCGTCGTTTACAGATGCAGCGAAATGACCATGGATACATTGTGCAAACCCATGTTTCTGACTTCTCTATTCAAATTTGTGACGGGAAAACTGCTTCCAGTTTAATTGTTTAGTTTTATTTCTTATGCAACAATTGTCCAGCGTTGCTCGCTAATGTCACGATTTTCATAATTAGGCACCAATTGTTTGGAGGCTGCTGCTGTAAAATATTTACTTGAGCTCTTTCGAGAATCGTATATTCGACATAGATTTATTTCGACATGCTTGAATAAGAATCGATTTCCGTGTACAGTTCCTCAGGTCTCTTTTTGAATTACATAGGTCAGTGCATTCTTTCAACAGTGCACTCTGAAATCCACTTTTGGTTTGTGGGGGCCCGAGGTGGGTGGTGGAAACTGCAGTCTGTTTTGCTCGACTAGTATGAGTTACTGTAAGAACTAGGTATTGTCGGTGAAAATGAGGGTTAACGTTTGTTCACTCGAAATCACTATGATCACACAACACCGGATTACTCACAAGTAGTTCTGACTGGAATCGGAAATTAAGTAGAATTTTCGCAAATTCGAAAGTTGGCGATGCATGCATAGATGAATCAGGAGGTGCATGGTGTTCACTTGCACCAAACCACTGCAAAACATCCAGTAATCTGCTGCAACAGAGCGTGCTCACCTTTGGGTGGACCAGCAACGGCGGGTAAAACATTCTTCGTATATTCTCCATCAAGGTTCCCAGGAGGATCATATCTGCCGACCACAAATACTTTCTTTTTGTCCGGTGAGTAGGCTTTGCCGAAACCACAGTGTTTCGTCTCCTTCCAGACCAACTGCGAAAAGTGTCCTTGAAATTGAGAGTGAGGGGAGGCTTTGTGTCGCAAAAGGTGCTGAACCACAGGAGTCTATTTCATTCAGTGATGTGCTTCTGTTTACTACTGGTTATGAATAAATACGATATTTGACTAAATATACTGTTTCATGGAACATTCATTACTGAAGGTAGAATTGTAAACCGCCATTCAAAGGAAAATGACACCATAACGACTTTCCAGGTTGATAGCGGTGAGTTAAAACCTGTGAAAAATGTGCTGAGATCACTCGATCAACCAATCACATGGGTTTCTGGATGTGTTCAAACTTGCAACGTTTCTATTCTCCATATTGTGGTGTTTCTCGGAGCTCGATATAACTGGGTCTAAGGTGCTGATCAAATGTCAACCGAGAGCATTTATTTAACCTCTTGGTTCTGAATAAGAATATAAATATACGGATGTATATACTTAAATACGCAGATGACTTTGTTTTAGGTTGCAAAGCATCCACCCCTGAAGAGGCTTCAGATATTCAAACCAAGCTAAACGAAGGTATTACTTTGTACTTGTCCCGTTTTCTCTCATTCAATGCTTCTAAATATCAGGATGTTGTGTTTTCCTTCTTAGTCGATGAACCCCATCCAGCCCTCAAAGGTAGGTTCCCCATCCTCCGACAATCAACAACCCGCACCGAAATCAACAATAGTATAATACCTTAGCGTCACCATATCGCACAGTTTACCA